GACAGAATGTCGAACAACTTTTTGTCGAACGGCAAGAATGTTCGATGTCATGAAATGTGGAAGAGCGGAAAGGGAGTCAGTAATGTCGAACCATGACGTGGTGAAACGGAGAAAATATGGAAAATTTGTCGAAAAACTTCGAATGAGCTTGTCTATGGCAAACTCATCATTTTTCGATTCAATTTTTCATTTCCAACTTGGAGCCTGGAGTAATTCCAGCCGTCTGCGATACTCTCCCAAATGTGACCCACGAACTTCACTTCTTTCATTTCTGCCAGAGCGCTCGCGGCAGCAAGTTCAGACGAAAGGTCTCAGTCACATACAACGACGACGACAATTTCCTGCCCCAGCTTTTATCTCACAGCCCCAGCTTTTATCCCCCGTGACACAGCACTTCCCTCGAAGAACTGCTTCAAGAGCTTCTCCAACAGGAACAGATACCTGCGCACTTCCGGTGGGATGTTCGATCCTGGAATGCGATGAGCAGAGTGACGAGCCTCTTCGGTTCCGCAGAGATCATCCAACTTCATTCCATCGCCTGCACGTGATGTCTGAGGATCAGTCAGCAGTTCAGCAGCGACTGATTCATTCGAGACTCGAGATCGGATTAAAGATGTCAGGAGGAATCTCCATGTCGAGCGTTCCTAACAGTAAAACATGCTAGGCGTTAAAGGTACGAGGGTCGCCCCAAAAGTAATGACTCCAATTTTTTTCCTATCTTGCGAAGCCTCTTCTTAAAGCCGGTCACGGAAGGGACAGACATTACGAGATTTGCCGCTCTACAAGCGAAAAGGTTATTTCGCGACCCGAATCTCGCTTGGGGCTTTCGCAATACGAACCGATTCGTTCTGCTGCGACCATCGAGTTGAAAAACCCATCGCGCTCCACATTATCGATTCCCTTAATGATGCGGTGTCCCCTCGTTAACCTTCGCTCGAGTGAATGGGGCCCAGAACTTCTAATCATCTCATACGAGAGTCCACGCTCCTTCATCAATTTAGAAGCCCGCTTTTGAACCCTCTCTGGCGCCGCCGACTCTTTTTTATTCGCTGGCCTCCAGAATTGAAGGCAATCCTCTAATTGGGATCTAACTACTGCGAAATACGAGTACGTGGAAAGAATAACGCAGGAACTCTTAATGGCAATGGAACGCCGCATAAAACCTAATATCCTGTTGCACTCAGCACGTGAGAGAACTCGAGTTCCTCGCCGATCGTAATCCATAATGGGCCATGCACACTTGCAAATTGCGACCACTGCAATCGTCGCAGCTCGTCGCGGTCGGTCGCTGTACGCTTCGCAACGGAATCGGGCGATTCGTTTCTGTCGCTTCCTCGCAGTGGTTCGCGCTTTAGCTGTTGACGGCAAGTTATGAAATCCTTGGATACTTAATTTGGCGGCTCTTTTGGTGGAATGACGTCGGCGGTAGATGATGCCGATCTTCACCGTTGATTCTCCAAGAACGAGATACATAATAATCTTCAAGAAAGGTCTCGATATCAATTACATTCCCGATGATTTTCCATTGTTTCAATTCATTAATTATAATTTAATTTTTTTTAAGCTGAGAAGCTCTTGTTCTTCGAGTGCAGCTGTTCGTGAAGGGGGTTGTGTTTCTATTATTATGAAAGGGTTTCTATTGTCTTTTTAATGTTGCTTGATGATAATTATAAGTGTACTACACATTAAGTGCCTGTTTCGATTAATCGTGAATTTCNTCCTGCGCTCGTTTCCCTTGCAGGAACAAGAACTTCATGACCACGCGCTTGTCGACGTGGCTGAATTCCGGTCTTGACGCCGCCATCATGAGTTCAAACTGCCGAAGGAAGCAAACTAACGGTCGTACCGGACTCTCACGGCGTGTGCGCTCTAGCGATGACCTCCCCTCCCTACATCCCTCGTGGCGCGGCTTTTGCTCTCTTGCGTCTGGGTAAAGTCGCGAACTTTTCAGCACCCCCTCGTACATGTATGAAGCATGCATTTACCCAACTCAATGACACTGCCACCATTTGCACGGTCTGAAGTTTGTGTCCTGCCCTCTTCCAGCAGATCAAGAAGGGTCTTCAACAGCTCAAGCGACATTCTCACGGACATAGGAAGCACTCTGTCTTCGCTGATATTTTCTACTAAGGTCTCGAACTCTCTCATCTGGATCTGTGTACATGACGTACCTAACTACCGTACCTACAAAAAAGCAAAAGTGTTGCAGCACGAGCTCTCAAATTGTACACAGCCATATATTTGATTTCGCTTGGGAGCTCTGCGACCAGTGTAGAAGATGCTCCGCAGACGGTCGCAGTTAAGAAATGATTGCGAACTTCGCAGACGGTCGCAGTGCGGTTTTGTCGCAGCACTTCGCAGTCAGTGTGCATCGGCCTTTCGTCTCTCATCCTGTTCAAGTCCCCCGATTCATCCTCGTCAAACGCATTCAGAAGCCTACTTTATTGCGGCCGACACGAAGGATCTCACATTTACTTTTATTAAACTTCCAGGAGCTGAAAATCTCTCTCGGCTCTCGCCGATTTTCGTGTGTGTGCTGGAAAGGGGAGAACCACCAAAAAAAATTAAAGGAACGTACCCAGCAAACAAAGTTACTTCGGACCAACGTTGTATCAACGTTCCTAATGCTTATTCAATGTTGATTCAACATTGATTCGACATTATGTGTTTCAAATTGTTTGCTGGAATATATTGACAGACAGAAAGCTGAAGGTAACAGAAGAGCATGGTTTTAGGGTTTTCTCGATTTCTTGAGAGGTTTAGCCAATTTGATCAAGTTTTGAAACAATCTGACAATGGGACATTTGACTGCATCTCTGACTCCAATATCTTGATGTTCTTATCGGCTCAAGAAAAAAGTGCCTTTTGACAGTTTTCCCAGTCCACGATTCGGCCTTATGCCATGTAAGACTTCGACCATAAGAACATCCGACTTTTGCGATCATTCGACAAAATAGAATTCGACATTATACCCAGGGTCGGCCCTAGCTATTTCGGCACCCTGTGCAGAGACTCCCAACACCGCCCTCCCCCTTCCCCTTTCTCTCTCTCCCTCTTCCTCAAGGGAGATAGGTCAATCACTAGGGTCCAAATAGATACCTACACGGATGGCGTTTCCACTTTCTGAAGTAAAACTGAGGGTGGCATCCTTTATTGCTTCATTCAATCAGTATCGTCTTGGCCCGCCTGATGGATTTGCGCCCTGTGCGGGGGCACATTTGGCACGTGCCTAAGGCCGGCCCTGATTATGCCATACGACTATTCGAGGGGAGACCCAGTGAAGGGGAGACAGGATGAATTCTCTTGAAAACCACTGCAGTTCGCACTGGCGGTTCGCGGGAGCACCTGCCATCTTGCGGTGAGCGCAACAAATGCAATATATTCGGTGAAGCCAATATGTCGACGCGGTGCACACGTGACTCAGAAGATTGATAACTGGTTTCACATTTCGAAATGTTTGAATAACGTAGACATTAAGTTTTTCTTTGGCATTATGCCTATTTACAGTTCCATCGAAGCCGCGGTTTCAGATTTTTTTCGATCCTGGAATCAAGTGAAATTCGTTGGGCTAGGCCAAACATAGGTGTGTGCAAGCCCAGGTCATTAGGACGTAGTTTAAAGCAAATTTAAAAAACCTTCCTCCAAAAACTGGCGAAGTTCTTCATTTAGAATACACTCATCACACTCTCAATCTCTTCCAGTCCTATTTCTGCAGCTGGCATCATTGCATCTTCAAGCAATGACTAACCCTTGCTCATTAATCATCCTAGAAAACTTAACTGCCCCACAGGACTTCAATTTGGGCCCCCTCTCATTCTGTCTCCATCAATTACGTTCCTTCTTGTCTCCATGAATTTAATCATGAAGTCTACATGCTGATAAAAATTCATTTCTCTGAAAGCTCCCTTTATGCCATACAAGATACTCTGCAGTAGGACTTAGACTATCAACCCTTCTGAAACTAAATGCATAAATGCTCATATTCCACCATGCCTAACTTAGAATCATCAACCTTCAAGGGTCACATCCTTCAGTAACCATTAAGTGATGTGCCCTTGAAGCCAGTTTTCTTTAAAAATTTTTACTTCATTCCTGACCTCTCTTTGTCTTTATGACAGTACAGAGACACCATCCTCAAGACATGAGATGCTATGGTTTACCTGATATAAGCATACGTCTCTCCTCATTGAACCCTCACCAAATTGTTGTGCCATATGTTAGTCCTTTCTCACATGCATTATTGCCTTGCTGCCAAGTACCTACTTGAATTGCCACCTCCTAAATAAATTATAGCTATTCTTAAAGGAAGCACTTGCCTTATCTACAAGAAAAATGGGCTACATTCAGTTTCTGAGCTTTTTAAAAGATTTAGGCTGTTGACTCTGTGGAATCCTATTGACTGAAATCTCTCTAATGCCCTATTATACAATAAACAATCTCTTACTCTCTTATCTTTACAGTTATACTCTCTTATCTTTATAGTTATACTCTCTTATCTTTATAGTTTATAATTTCGGCACAAGAGCTGAAATTATGACCTTTGTTCAACTTGCTCCAAAACTTTAAAAAAATTTTCATCAAAAGGCAGTAGACTCCTAAACTCATGTAGCAAAGACTCATCCCTGTTAAGTCTTTCAAGACCAACCTGTTCAATCATCTGTTCATATTACATGCTCCTAGCAAGTGTGACTGAAGAGCAACTTCAAGTCCAATGCAACTTTGTTAGGCTTTTGTTTTCCTACTTTCCCCCACTCCTGTTCTTGCTTATTTGAGCCAAGCCATTTGTGGCTTCACCTGATCTTGACATATGGTTGTTTGTTCATATTATTAAAGCCGTTGAGGGGCAACTAACCCTTACTAGTGCTTTTCCTCTGTCTGTTCACCGTCACAAATACCTACTTCCATTACTTCTGTTCCCAATAAATAAATATATAAGAATATGGATTGCTTAGTTGGCAAAAGCAGAATTTCATAATTGGTTTCATCAGCCTGAATCCCTTCATTTCTTCAATGCAGATGGCAGCTAATGCTGCAACTGGAAAAGAGAGGTTAGAAGGATCTGGGTCTCACAAGCCTTTTACAGGTGCAGTGTCTGTGATAACTTCTCCATCCATTGATGCAATCTCCAGTTTTTCCTCTGAGAGTCTTGGTGATGATGCTGAAGTCATAGCTGATACCAAGTCAGCTCAAACTGCTGGAGACTTTCAGATATCAATTGGGAATCCCGAGAAGCATGTCAATGTGATGGAAACATTTGTGTCCTTCCAGATCACCACAAAAGTGAGCTATGGCTGGATAATTGAATTTCTATGGGTTACCACAACTATGAAACAAGTGGAAATAATAATTTAAAAAATCATCAACTCTTGTATGAATGCTCTATGTAGTACAGTGTATATAAGTCTTGTAGTTGCATGCAGTGAAACAGCCTCCCACTAACTGCTTATGTTGCAACTCCAAGATTCTGAGGTCTGGCACTGTTTACTTATGAAGGAAAGTAGACCTAAGTTCCATTGGTTACTCATCCAAGGAAGTTTTTTAAGCAGGCATTGAGCAAATGCACCCATCATGTAATACATTTATGCTTTGCAACTTTAGGTTGAGACTTGCAAGTGTCATGATAATGATCATGAAAATCAACCAACCCTGGAGTGAGACAAAGTCAAGGTGGATCCTAGCAAAATGCCAGCAAAATTGCAAAAGCAAAAAAAAAATTTTGATTTCAGAAGGCATTCTGTGACACTTAGAACACTTGCAGTTCAGCTTCCATTCTGAGATGAATGTATGTCAGAGACATTTCAGAATAGTTACGTAACTGTGACACTTGTCAATTTCTTGACTAGTGACATAGCTGGCCTGTCATTGTGTTGTATTTCACTTTACCCATCTGGAAACTGGTAACTTGGAAAAGACATGGCTGAATTATTGAACCTTATTAGGAACAATCATAGCAAACAAAAAAGTTATCAATACTTCAAATAGACTTCATGTCATGTGGATAATCCTATCAATATGACAGGTATGTTACTTCTCTCTTCAATTGGTGATTGAGGAAATGATCAAGGTAATACATTTTGTCATTTCAGGTGCTTGATCCACAAGCACGACCAGACCTAATTGAGTCAGAATATAAAGTTAGACGAAGATATAATGATTTCCTGTGGCTTCGCAGTCGACTGGTTTCGGAGAACCCCACACATATTATACCTGTGAGTTCATCTTTACTTGCACTTGAGTAACCTGATTTGCATACATGGTTGACTGTTTAATGTGTCAAAGTGTTTTCTCATTTCAGCCTCTTCCAGAGAAGCATAATCTGAAGGAACAGCTAGACAGATACAGTAGGGAGTTCATCCATCAGAGGATTTTCCTTCTGCAGAAATTTATCCTTCGCCTTGCAGATCATCCCACATTGTCATTCAATAAATACTTCATTGTTTTCCTCACTGCCAAACCTGCTGTATGTTTTCAGATGCAGTCAATTAGGCTGGTTTCTTTATAGAGTTTCATTTTTTTTATCATTGCACTAATGAGAGTTGCATTCTTTCCAGACCTTCATCCAGTGCCGAAGACATGAAGAATCCATTCTAAGCCGTCTTTCATCATCCATGCACAATCTTGTGCTTTCCCATTCACCAAGGTCTCCTGAATTCCAGGCAGTCTCTGATTATATCTCCAATTTGGGGGAGAAACTGCATGCAATTGAAAAGATTGCTCATCGCATCCATCTTGTCCGGAAACGTGAGTTTGTTGATTCTACCATTTGAACATTTTCTACTGAAGTGATGCTCTGATACTGTTCTTTTTTTTTTTCAGAGTATGTGAAGGAAGAAAAGGAATTGCCATTAGCACTGAATGCATGGGCTAGTGCTGAACAAGAACTTAGTCATATGCTTCATTGTGTATTGGATGCAATTGAGAAGTGTAACGCAGCTCATAAACATCTCCTTACATCCTTTGTTCCTCAATTTCTCCTTGTGAGTGGAAGATGATGAGTCTATCCTGTCTGCAGATTTTCCTTTATGATTTATAATTAGAATGCATTTCCTTTCTCTTATTGAAAGCCCCTGCATGAGTACACACTCTATGTGGATGCCGTGAAAGAGGCCCTCATCAGACGGGACCACCTGCAAGTGGAGCATGAGAGAATGGTTCAAGACTTGGAGAAGAAGAGGTTGGCAAAGGCTCATGTCGAAGCTGGCCAAGGAGATTCTGCCATGCTATTCTCTGCTTTCTTCAACCGAGGGACTTCAGACACTGATGCCTTAAGAGATGAGAGACTAGAAAAGCTGGACAATTCCATTCAGGATCTTCAGAAATCCATTGGGGTGAGTCAGATTCATCATTTACCAGGGACTGTAGTTTCTTATGTGCAGAAGGCACAAGTTTGTCTTGTGCATTCTCTCCAGGAGAAAGGTGATCGCACTGCAATTGGGGATGCAGATTTTTGTGCAGACCTGGAAAGGTGGCACTCTGTGAAAGATCAGGATTTGAAAACCATCCTCAGTGATCATGCAAATCGTCATGTTCTCATGTATGAAGAGGTTGGTTGAAGGAATATTTTCCCCTACAAATGTACTGCTAGCTGTGAAAGGGTCATCCAAAAATTTATTAGAATTGTTCTGTTTTGAAGCTAAGCCAAAGTGCAACTGAGACATATTGGTCATGTTCAAAGTGTTGCAACTTTGGTTGCTGTCAAATGCTAGTTTAAATAGTTATTTATTTGGTGGCTTCTTAACATTTTTCTGTCCCAAATTTCTGGTTACTGGTGTAATTTGGTGAGTGAGATACTTTTTTTTATATAATAAGCAGGGAAACCTAGAGTATATGTCATGCATGAATGGCAGAACATTCTTGAAAACTCCTGAAATTTATGTGGGAGCTGGAAAACCATTAGAAAATTATTTGATATCCAGCCTATATATACAGTTATTGCAATGTCACTCAGCTACAAAATCCAAGAAGTAATGGCATATGTCTTAAAACATTTGGGATTGTCTCCATATATAGAGTATCCTAATTTTGACTATTGGTGAATTTTTTATTACTGAATCTGAATGGACCATATTTTTGAATTTATAGACTGACTCTCTGTGGACTTTGGAATGGTATCACATCTTCCCTTCCACTTTACTGAGAACTGATTTTTTTCACCCTTGTTTTACTTTAAGAATCAGAAAAATGTAGTCCAGAATTCAGAAATGAGTGAAGGTGGGGTTTGGTTTGTTTTTTTTTTAGCACCAAATCTGTTGGTGAAGTTCAGAAAATTTGTGAAAAGTTCCATTCATGACTATGGTCACTAATCTAGCATCTAATAGACTGGAGCCATTGGTAGCCGATAAAAGTATGGACAACTACAACATATTTATACATAGGGCGCTTCAGCATGTATTCCATTGGTATGCATCAAAATTTCGAATTCAGCAGGTTTTAAACCAAGGTTTCCAGAAGAGAACTGGTTACTGTTGGTTTTGCAACAAGTTGATGAGCATGAAGGTTTCTATGAAGAGTTGCATTTCTTGAACTAACTCCTTTTCATTTGCATTGAAAGAAAAAAGAGCTAAAAATTAATTATTCATAGAATAAGGAAACCCTAGAGAGAGCACTTAGGAAATGCACTCCCCAGGATTGCATTTTTTATCTCCAAAATGAAAAAGGTTCCAAATTGTAATTGTCTTGGAAATGAATTCATGGGATCATAGGGGGAGAATGTATCTCCATACTTGTGTCTGCAAATACCCATTATTTTAATGTAAAAATATATTTATTTTTTTTAATTCATTGATGAAGAAATTTCCCATCTTTAAGGGCACCATGTATTTGGAAATCAGGTCATTTCATGATGGATTATTTATTTAAGCTTGAACAGAAATTTAACTGCTGTGGAATTTTCTGGCAGTGCCTGAAAGCATGGGAGGAAGCCTTGACCAAATTGAAGGATGATTCAAACCCTATTTGATGGAAAAGCTTTCATCAATCAGTCATTCCTCCTCAGCATCCTACTACTCAAATCAAAGCCCTTGCTGCTGCCTGTGATGACTGAGATACATGGTATGCCCATTCTCAGTGATGTTTACCCTTGAATCTGAGATCTGTCATATTACTAACATTATGTGTGGCCAGTGGTCATGTTGAGTGAGTTCCCCCAATGAGAAATTTGGTGCATTGCATTCAATGCTTCCTAGATCTATCAAAATCTTGCAACTCTTTGCTAAGGGACTGAAGTTATTTCTGTTCTTCCATTATTGCTGACTGTGCAGTTTGTGGATCTTGAGAACCATGGTGATAAATCTAGATGGCTTGGAATCTCTTTCTTGTTGGGAACTGAATTTACATGACTATGATATTCATGTTCTTTAAAATGAGTCTCATTATTCATATTGTTGGAAAGGATTCCCATGTTTTGTATCTGTTCAGCTGTTGATTCTTCCTCTTTCCTATTGTTGATTCTTCCTTCCCTTGTCCTCATATGGATCAGGATCCTCACTACATTCCAAGAGTGAAGTGGTTCATTCCAAGACTTTCCTCTGAATTTTTCTCGCCCTTGTGCCATGTGTGATTTTAAGCATGAACATTATCCTATACAAGTTCTGTGGGCCAGTAAAGATGTTGCTTTACCCTAGAACTTCATGGAGGTACAAGAAATATGAAATATTTTGTATATGTCGTTTTACCTTCACATATACAATAAAAATGAAGCAAGCAAGATGTGACAGTTGGCAAATCAATATTACTTTTAGTCCTTACCCATAATCAGCTACAGGAAGGATGTATTTCGGACTCAGAGTAGTTTTGAACTGTACTGTCATAATAATAATAATAATAATATTTCCTCTAAAATTCAAGTCAAAGTTGTGTTATGTGGATTAGTTCCACTTTTATTGTCCATCAGGGCTGAGGATTGGTGTCGGTGTGACAACCACCTACGGTTGCGGACTTGGAAGGGATGGCAATGGTCAGGAGCAGGGGTGTGGTCAAGGGGGGGTCTAACCCTCTCTTGTTCGGAACAAACAGACAAGTCCCCCTTTCCGAAGAAATTCATATTTGTCTTGACAGAAACGTTAATTCAGGGGTTCAGGAAGTGCCCCCTCTTTAGTAAAGCAACCCCTATGGGATAGAAGGTTCGTTCGCTCCCATCCTGTCCTTGTCGCAAAGCTTGTTTCTACCTTTCCCTTCCCACCCGAGCGGGGGGGCTCAATAAGCATCGTGACGATTCCCATCCCATATGATTATCCTAGATGCGTGTATGTCCAGGGGCACCTCTTCCCCGAATGAAGTCAATTGCCGGCGTAGGCGTTCCAACGTGCCTTCGAGTCAGAGATACTTCCTCACGCTGACAGTGCATAGGGTAAGCGGTTTCAGGCCGGTCTCCAGTTGTTGGCCAGTGAGGCTTAAATCCAACATATTTAGTTAATCCGGCCGTTTTCAAGAATTCTATCATCTCGTACGAGGACCTATTACTAGTGTTTCCCGGTGCGCGCACAGGGTGCCCTCTTCCTATGGGAGTCGTATCAGCGTGGCCAAAAACTGGGGTGTTTACCCTATATGAGAAAACGGAAGAAGGCGATGACGGACTTCCGATTCCGAACCGCTTCCGTGGATGCAGCGTGGACTCTGTACAGTGAAGGAAGCAGACACTCGCAAAAATATTTAAATATCCGATCTCCATATGTCCGCACGAAATCTAATGGCATTCCATTTAACAGAGAAAGGAAGTTCAATCCTCTGTTTCTTAACCCTACAGTAATCGCATGGTGTATTTTATTTCCAACTCCGCCATTACGAGCGCGTCATGAGCATGTTTTGTTTTACTCGGTCACTTCAGTACCTTTTGAATATAATTATGCGAGAATCTCATGTAGCATTGGTGAAGGGATACAACAACGTCGCAGGGGGACTCAATTCTCCGCAACGAAATCTTCGCATAGGGCAGGCTTTTTTGCAAATTGAGGCCCATACAATCAAAAATGAGACGAAAACCTATTCATGAAGCTGATACTGGTGTCAAAAAAGGAGATCGGTAAATACACGATGTCTTCGAAGCCGAAACGAATAAAAAGCCGCTCAAAGGCGATGACTTTTTCTCTTTTGCCGTGCATTAAAACTCAAAGATTCTCAGAAACGGCAGAAACAAGTAAGGAACATTGAAACCTATCGTGAGAAGGGGCCGTGAAGTGAAATGACTTCTTGTGTTCAAGTCCCTTCCTTGCTCGCCTGTTCCCATCAGCCAAAGAGCGGATTCAGCCATTTCAATTAACCCCGCTCTGTCCAGCCTTTAAAAATGCCTGTGCATAGAGTGCCACAGGGTTGGAACGGCCAAGTGCTTATAGTGAGTAGTTGGCGATGCATGTACCAATGATAATGTGTTGATGATGCCCGTGAAACGCTGTTTATTGACAAAAATGGGTGCAGTTGACACAGCGCTCGTGCAAAGCGCAACTATAAAACTTAAATTTTTTTAAATTAGTAAAAAAAATTTGTATCTTAAAAGCAGGGCCGGATTAAGAAGTTGCGAGGCCCGGGGCAAGTGAATTCCTCCCCCCCCCCCCCCCCCGCTACTTTACGCAAATATAATACTTTTTTGAACTTAGGGTAAGCTCTTAATTTCCAACCTGAAAATTGAAAAGCGCTCTCGTACTCCCTCTCACCCCTATAAACAATATATCAACGAATTACGGAATTGAAGCTCCTTCCATTGAGTGAGGTACCAAGTTCATTATCAAGTACTAGTCAGTACTTAATATCTGTATCTCAAAAACGGCAAAATCGATCGCAAAACCACGAAATCGACCATAAGAGATTTTCATCACTTGCCAATACACCAAGTGGCTCTTTCTAAATTGGGCGCGTTTTCATGCAAATCGAGCAATACTTTTGTGCCATAGAGTCCCATTATAACGGTCTGGATACTTGCTCTAAAGCCAGGTGACGAACGTGTCCCAAGCAATCGAGGAATAGGCGTTGTAAATGAGACCCGACCCCCTCTTGTTCCCTATTAGCCGGTCACCCAGGATGGTTGTGGTTGTGGTTGTGGTTGTGTGGCGAGAGCCTTCATGGATGTGAAGAGCAGAGGGTGAGCATTCCCCCTCGAGGAATCCACGTCTAGACAGGGGAGGAAGGGAAGGAGAAACACGAAGAAATCAGACAGTGAAGGCCTTTTCCTTCCATAGCGTGGAAATGACGACTTCATTCGAAAATGACTTCTGTATTCGATGACCTGTCCATGTAAACGGCTGGGTATGCTCCGCGGCATATTATCGGGAATGTAAACTCTTTAGTGCGTCATGTACAGTTTGTTCAAGAATGTTCCTGCGATATCGTGTCAAAGACACATCTCGGCCTGCAACATAACGGCAATGGAAACCGATAGAGAACCTAAGCTATCTCTCGACCTCTGATTTTAATAGAGAGAAGTTGATTCAATGGGACAGGTATCGGGGAATCATTTGTCGATGAGCCATACAGCTTTCCACGAAACAGCTCCGTTTTTTCTGGTCCAATCATGGCCCTCATTTCATCAAGAAAGTTTACAAAGGTTTCTATAGTGAGATCA